ACATCAAGTGGTGTAAACCGGCGAGAAGAGGCACCCCCATTTCGGTGCATACAAAAATGCTTACATCAGTAGGACAAAAAAAAAAACTTAAAGTATGATATTAATAACCGCAGGGTTGTTTAATATCTTTACAAAAATTCCATAACTGCGTTACTCTTACAAAATAATAGTCGTCTGTATAATGTAGGTTGGTGGCATGACACGGGTGCGCAACATCGCACGGGCGCATGAGTTGGAGACAAATCCAATTGGAACAAAAAGAGCAAAAAAAAGGAAAAAGAAACATAATAAGACACATAAAAGGAAACATAAAAAGAAACAGAAAGATCGTTATGTGATGTCCTTACGGAAGGACAAAGAGTTATTCACAAAGCTGGGTAGAAAAAAAAGGAAGGTCGCACCACATGCGTGGCCGCTTTACGCAATCGTAATTAAAAACAGTAGTGGTTCGTAAAAAGATATTTCCACTTTATCATTGCGACGAGTAGCACGCAGTGATGCGTGTCTTTTTAAAAACTAAAAAGCGGGTTTCAAAACACAAAAAAAAGCAGAACGCCGGGGGGGTGCAGAAGTGGACGAAGAAAAGGAGATGGACGAAGTTGATGAGGAGGGCGACGGGGCAGAGAATTCAAACAAGCGAATTATTTAAAAGGGGTGAACTATCTCGACACGGCTCCTCCGCGGACTCAACTGCTGTCGCTGACGTTCATGTACTTTTCGTAGTAAGTGAGGCTGTTGATCTTCCAGTACTGAAAGGAATTGTACTAAATAGAGGGGAAAAAAAAAAGAGAGACAATGAGACAATATGTTTTGCACACCGCGGGCGGGAGTGGTGTTTTCGTGAGGCCCCGCTTCTTCACGTTAGTAAAAACTCCTTTCACAGCGCCGCGCGCGGGGGGAAGAACACAATGAAGCGATAACATAGCAAATGGAAACATAGAAAATGGAAACATAGAAAATGGAAACATGGAAAATGGAAACATAGAAAATGGAAACATGGAAAATGGCAAGAAAGGAACTCTCCTTGCGGAAAGCCCCAAAATTGGATGATTAAAAAGGAACGGCACAGAATTCTACCCATCCGAAATGCACACATTTATGCAACAATTTCAAGTGGAAAAAGAAAAAAAGAAAAAAATTCATGAGATTATGGGGGAACAATCCGATGCCCCCCAAATTAGCCATTCTTACAAGAACAAAAAAAAAAATAAATAAAATAAAAAGAAACTTCTTAGATTTATTTGAAAGGACAAAAGTTCAAATTTAATTCAGTTCTCGAATTGCGTATCGTGATATTATGGCAATTTTGGATGGTGAAAATTGAGTACACTTGTGGGATGGAGGAAAAAAGCTACATGAAGATCACATGAGCGATGTTTGCACTGTGTATGTGTGCAAAGCGTTTGGGTAATAGTGGGGAGGAAGCATACAGGTCAAAAGGTTGGGACAGCTTGTGCGCATCGGCAGTCAATGTGAGTGCACGTTAACTGGATTGCAGTCCGCACAACACAGAAAAAATCACATAGTCACGTTTAAAGCGCCTTCGTAATTGACAAATGGGCAAATGGGTATGTATCACAATTTCGTTAAGCTAAATATTTTATCATTTTGTGTTTTTACTTGGTCGTCATCTTCTCTCTTTTTGTCATTTTTGATGGACGGGAACATGTGCTCGGTTATTTCGCTCATGGTTTCGTAGCTGCAGGGGTGGGGAGGGGGAGTCGCAAAAAAGTTAGGTAAAGTGAGGGCGAGACGATTGTTTGCGCAAAGGGGAACGTGGGGGTTCAATTCGGGAGTTGTCCCGATTCTGGCCCTCCCGTTTGGGCATTTCCGCTGCACATTACGTTTTGGCGTAGGTCGAGTTGACGTGGTGCACGATTCCCCGATTGTCTATGATGAACACTTTCGCCTCCGGGACGCCTACAGATATGTACGCTCGATGGTCCTTCGCAGGGGGGAAAGGAATGGGGGAGAATATCATAGTGGTGCAATCTGGCTAACATCGCGAATTGGGCAAGCTGTCGTAATTGCAACTCAAACACGAGCATACATACGAACATATGCATGTGCGAGATGACCCGTTTTGGGAGGGGGCCCTTATTCTTACACTCTCAGTGTTCCCAAAGGCAGCGTAAAAGGGATTATGATTCAGCGGGAAGAGATTTCGTATATCTCTCAACGCAGCGATTTTAAAAATGTACGGTTTTTTGTCAATAACTTCTCTTTTGAAAGAGGGGAAGAGTCTATCTGGACTTAAAATTAAGGGTCCATCGGGGAGCTTATTATTGTCATTTCTTTTGAATCTGAATAGATACTCCCTCGTGGAGTCGGCCTGACCGATAGCCCTAGCAGTAAGGTACAAAATGTGGTACCCATTATTATGAATTTTGTTAAATAATTGAGAAACGCCAACATGAGACCAGTCTTTGCCAACAATCGGCATTATATGTCCAAGTACATTGGACCTAGTAATAGTTCCATCGACATCTGAGATGACAATTTTGGCATTTTTCTTCCATAGGTATATGGTTCCATTAATACTTTTGGTTCCTTGCAGGGAGGAGGTAACCAGGAAGGTTATGGTGTTTGCTCCTTCCTTTAAATTCAATGATTGTAGTTGCTCTGAGGTCGGTCTCAATGATTTCCGGTACCTTATTTTTATTTTTTCATCTCCATGTTTTGTGCTCCTCCTGCTGACTTCACTTGGATTATGTAACGAATGTTGTATGCTTCTCTTCGCATCGTGCTCTTTGAGAGTTGCGATTTCGCTTTCCTCATGATTATTTGCATTACTGTTACTGATGTGATTGTTATTGTTACTGATCGTGGTGGTGGTAGCACCTGCGACGGGGGGTGTTTTGATGGTACTTTTTCTCCCTTCTTTTTTTTTGTCTTCAATTTGGTTGGACGCTTTGGAATCCTTCCCCATACTTTTCCTATTGACGGTGTTGTCATATTCTACACTGGATACTCCGAACCAGTTTCTCCATCCCTTGTCCTTTATTTCGACCAAAGTTAGAGACGAGTTTAGTAATTTCTCAACAGCCAAAATGGACAGAGGTTGGTTGAATACGACCCAGGAGGCTAGAAGGGGTAAGGCAACCCTTGAGGGATAGTAAGGGTCCTTTTTATCAAATCGAAAGACAAGTGATGGATGGTACCATAAGTTGGAATTCTTGTCTATCTGATCATATGTAACTATATTGGCTTCAAAAATATTTTTGTTGTGAATTTCTATGTTGTAATCATTGTGTTCGTTATCTGCATTTTGGTTGAGTAGTAGATGTCCACACAAGCTACATTCAATTCTGTTTTGGATGTCGTCGTCAAAGGTACTGTCCGGTTCGTCCTTGGAGTAGCTTATTTGGTTATCATCATCGTTTGAATTCATCTCTGCGTCTTCGTCTGAGGAATGATGCTCATGGTGTGGCTTGAACTTGCCTTTTGTTTTTGCCCGCTCCCTGTGGTACTCCTCCGCCTTGGCCCACTTTTCCGAGCCCCGTTTGGTTTCTCTGTTTGCTTCTCTGTCTGCTTCTCTGTCTGCTTCTCTGTCTGCTTCTTTGTCTACTCCTCTGTCTGCTTCTCTGCCTGCCTCCGTCTCGGCTCCTGTCCGTGCCCTACATCCTTCCGCCTTGTCCCTAGCCCGCTCCCTCGCTTTACGTTTCAACTTCTCTATCATCCTTTGTTTCCCCCTTTCGAGTTCCTTCTCATTGACTCCCATCCCCAAGGAGTGATAATCTCCCCTCGTTTCCGCATTCTCCTTATCGTTCTGTTTCGATTGTGCGTTCTTCGATTCATCCTCTGACTTCTTTAGATCCATTTTGGTGGGATCCCCATTCACGTCACTCCCTCGTTGGCTTCCAAGTTGACTTCCTTGCTGATTTCCTCCTTCGCTGTGCCTGTTATCATCAGCGACGTCCCGCCTGCTGGGGAGTCCCTCCCCCTGGCTTGGCCTCCTCTTCTCGACATGCTCAGATTTGCCCCAGTTTCTGGTATTGGCATTGTTAGCGTTGTTATTATTGTTGCCACTGCTACTGTTATTGCCGACACCCTCGTGGAGGGTGGTGGGCTCCTTGGCAACCGTCTTAGCGGAGTGGCTTCCCTTGTGGTAGCACTTGGGACCTTGCTTGGAGCCATCCGCATCATTTTTGTTGCTGAGTTTTCTGGGCACTTCCTTCTTCACATGGTCTAAGTGACTATCCCTATATCTTTTTATATGCTTCCTTTTGCCGTCACGGGGGAAGCTCTTTGTTTCTCTGTCTTTGTTGAGGCACTTTCTAACATTCGATTCGCTCAGGTTTCTTCTGCGTACACACGTGAGGTGTTCCCTCGATGAGGAGTAGTCATGGACTGATTCGCTTTTATTATAAAATTTTTTTCGTTTCTCCTTTTTTTCATTTTTGTTGTTGGACGATATGGCTGTACAGTTATCTGAGGCGTAATCCTGATTTTTCAAATGGGGTAGTCTTCCCCATGACCAGGACCATTCCGAATTGACATTTGGATCATCGTCCTCCGTTTTTCGCTTATTGGCATGGTGATCGTAGTCTTCAGCTATTACCCTGTTGTGCCGGTGGGGGGTTCTGTTTTTTTTTTTCTTCTTCAGATTGTCTCTTTGGACGGAGCCACGGTGGTGGTGGTTGCTGTGATCGTGCTGATCGCGCGTGGTATGGTCTCTTTCCTTGTCCTGATTATTGCTCTGCTTCCTCCCCTTGCCTTGATCCATTTTGTAGTTCCTATCCACCGACTTGCGTCTATCGACGGCAATGTTGCGAAAGAAGGACTTATCCGAATCGTCATCGCTCTTGAAATTGTTCAGCGAATCGTTAATGCTGCAACTGTCGATGTGTTGATCTAAATATAAATCATTATACTCATGGCGAGGGGATGACAGAGGGGAGGTTTCTAATTCTTCTTCGACATCATCATATGTCTTCTCAACAAAGTAAGCTTCCCCTGCGCTGCCTAACTTCATATGTAAATTTGTGCTCTTCCCATTGACTAAAATGCTAACTATCTTCTCCTTTGACCTTAACAGTTTTGTCTTGCCAAATCTCACATGGAAGGGAGTCGACTTGTACGTGACGATTATTTTGTTTTCTCCTTTGTGCTTGCTCTCAATTTCGGACTCTATGCAGATGATATCGATGCACCCGCTGAGGGTGGCTTGGTTAAAGTCCAGCGCGTTGGACACGCTGCTCACTATTTTTCCCCACCTAAGACGGAGTTGCAAGGTGGAGGAGTTGCCATGAAGAAGTGTTAGTCGTGAAGGGGAGGTAAAGGTTTACTTCGCGGTGTGCACGCAACGGGGGGACGTGTCACCCCAATGATCGTATGCACATTTCTTAACATTCCTTATCTATATCAGTTCTAGTCTTTTTTTTCTTTTTTCTTGCGAATGGGAAGGAAAAGGCTCTTATTGGGCGTGCCATTTTACGTACACCCAAACCCCACCTTCCATTCATTCGACAATTGACACGATCGTGATTTTCTTACATGGTTCTCTCTAGCGCGGGTTACACATAAGAGACGATCGGGGGGGGCAGTCGTGAGGGAGGGAATGCACAGGGCTCTATATGTGGAGGAAGCACAACTACAGCTAAACATATAGGTAAATTGGCACATCTAGAAATATAGATATATGTCCGCCTTGGCCTCTATAGGGCTCCGTACATATATATACACACGGTTGCGTTAGTACATGAGTCTCGCAAATCACTTAATTTTTGGCATCTCCCTTTTGCTATAATTTTTCGGCCTTGCTATAAGGGGGGCAGGCGGCTGCCATTGTTCGGTACGGGTGATCCTCGGTAGGGTGGGATGGCATGGATTGAACCCGCAAAAGGAAGAGGCCTTGCGAATGAAGCAAAGGAACAGGGCAGGCGAGGAGGCAAAATGAACAGGCCAAGCTACCCGTGACGGGGAAACGCGAAAGGTATACACGCGATAGCAAAAGGGGAAATAACATGTGACTGCAAAAAGGAGGGTTACATGAAAAATGGGAACGAGAAGGGGAAAAACGTTACGACGTTAGGAAGTTGTGAAGTTAAGAATTTATAAAGTTAGCGAGTTACGAAATTACGAAGGTAAATATATACATATATTAAAAGAGCAAAATGAGATTTAATCAAACGCGTGTGAAATTTAAACAAAAAAAAAGAAAAAAGAAAAAAGAAGAAATAATAATGTGTAAAAAATTGCGCAATAATGCAATACAAAGAAGATGGGGGTGAGGAGTAAGAGGAGTTATAATGCAGGTCAAAGAAAAACGTTTGGCAAATTATTCGTTCAGATTTGCCTAGAAATTTTAGAAATGGGAAAATAAAGACTATACACTTTTGCGTGTTCGTGAAGGTGGGGATCGACCAGCGCAGGGAGGGAGCGCCAAGAAAAAAAAAAAAAAGGTACGCAAAGAGAAGCGCGCGGGGAAGCGCAAATGGAGCAGCCAAAAATAAGCGCAAAGGGGAGCAAAGGGCACAAAAGATTCGCAGATGTTACGGGGAGGTATGATAGGGCAACAAGTTATTGGAAAATGGTCGAAAAGATGCCAGAAAAAGATAGAAAAAAAGAATTAAAAGTCTACAAGATATGGTGAAGCACTCTTAAAAAGCGGGCATGGGAAATGTACATAGCATTTACTGGTTCTCTCATCCTGTAGTGTGTGCGTGAAAAAAAGAAAAAAATAAATTGCCCACATCAGCACATGTGCTTGATGGTTTCAGAATGTAACCTATGCATGCTTAAAATTTTCACACGTACATATGTGTTAAGTTTAGCTCTTTGGCTTTCCCCCTGCTTCTGCCTTTGTGCTTATGTGCGGCGGCTGGCTTTTTCCCCCGCTTAAGTGTATATCGTTGTTGCATAACGGAATTGCTGCACTAGTACGGTGCCGCACAGATGCAGTTTTCTACTCTCTCCAGATTGTTTTTCCGCTTGGGGGGTCCCTCTTCTGGCCCGTCAAGGGTACCCAGTGGGATTCATCCACTTCAAGGTAGTCCATTTAGCTAAGCATCCCCCATGGGGCTACCCCCCAAGCGGTAGTCCTTAAAAACTAAAGACACGCGGGACGTAATGTGGGAGGTGCAGGAAAAAAAGTGGGAAAAGCAAGACGCAAATGGATGGGTATGGATTGGAGGGTGTCGACAAAAATGACGAGAAAAATGGCGACAAAATTGCTGAACAAAATGGCGTGCTTCCCCTTCGAGCCAATCAGATTTTTCCACTTCAAATTTAAATTGTAAAGAGCTGCCACGTTTGGGAGATAACGAGAAAAAAAAAAAGAAAAAAAAAATATAATACCACATATGCGCAGTTCTAAACAGTTAACACGTTTTACCTTCATCCATTTGCACAACACATTGCTCACGAGTTGGGAAATCCCCCTGACGGCCAATTTTTATTAACTCTTCTGTTTGAGGGTTGGCTTATTATCCCGCAGGTATAGCTAGAAAAATTATCATTTCCCCTTTCCTTTTCTTCCCTCTGCATAATATGCAGAAGATACCATTACGTCGTTTTCTTCTCTATTCGACCACAACATACGCTTTATAACGGCAGTAGGAGATACGCCTTGTTCGTATACTGCCTATCGTAACGTCAGTAAAAAACAGGATGTGTCATTAACCGCATGTAGAAAAAGAGAGACTTTTCTCCTTATTTTATTTTTTTCTATTGGATAACATTGAAACAGTAAAAAAGTAAGTTTGCAATAATTGTTTTGTAAAATGTTTGAGAAGAATTTGTAATTTATTTTTTTCTTGCTGTGTCCCCATCCCTTTTCCTCATATATTCCCGTTGTGTATTTTAGAATTTGCCATTCTTCGATGAGCTAAAGGGGGGGGTTTAAGTTTACAGCTTGGCCGAAGTGCAGACCCCCAAAATGTAAACAAAAGAGGTGGGGGGCACCCACATCAGCAAATCGATATCTTCGTTTAGATGGATATACACGCTTTATCGCATAATTCGTGCCAGCTGGGGAAAAAGCTGTGAGTTAACCCCTGGGGCACGTCGTACCATGAGGAAGACACCCCCCTATCCGTTCCTCGAAAAGGAGTCTACAAAGGGAGAAGCGACATACGTGCGAGATTTGGAAAACGACACACAAAGGAGGAAAACTTAACGCCAATTCGAACGAAAGAAAGCTTCCTTTCCACACGAGGGGAGGGTTATAACGAAAGATACACATCTCTGTGCATACGTATAGACATACGTATTATATGTATGTACAGGAAGGAACGCGGAGAAGAAACATGTCGTGTGTTCCTCTTTGGAAAGCAAAGTAGGTGCCCTCTCTCGAGTCGGTTGCGGAACGAGTGGGAAAACAAAATCGTTGGGAGTTCTTTTGTGTTATTTCAAGGTGGAGAGTGTAACACGGCAAGGCATCATTCATGCGCATAAGCCACCTGCAGACACACACACACACTGGGAGGGCGCAAAGCCGAGTGATCCCAACCAAGCGAAGGCAAAATGTGCGGCTCCGAGGACTACCTGAAGTGCCGTGTGCACTTTGAGTACAACCTAATCGAGTCACACGACACGGTAAAAAAAATCAGGGAGGGTCATGAATACACGTTCGTACACACGAAAGGGGGCGATGAAGAGACTCGCAAAAAGAAGATATACCTGTTGGGGTTAAATTATGACGAGTGGATCTTCCTACGCGGGAACTTCCGCTTTCGCCTTTTAAAGGGGATTGCAAAATTTAACGGACAGGTAATGAAGCCATCGGAGAGATACACAAATGTCCGCATACCGGACTTTTACCCTTTGTTCAGACTTGTGGTGCTGAATGGAAGTAACGTTAAATATGAGAACAACCGATTTGTCCTTTTTGCAAAGGATTCTAAAGGTTGCAGTTGTTGCGGGGGGGAGGCAAAGGGGGAAGAAGAGACCACTAACCAAGGAGAAGCACTACAGGGTGGAGAAGAAGTGAAGGTAATCCATACGAACATAACGAAAAGCAGAAGCGATTTAACTGATTCGAAACAAAATAAGGAACCCCATGAGGGCTCCAATACGTGTGCTCGCAAATGTGAAAAAAATTGCTCCCTGACCGAGTGTGCCAATAACATATTGCAAAATTATCTGTATGGATTGAATATTTTAAGAAGGGACAGTGGTAAGAGGAAGGAATTCTACGAATACGTGATGAACGCGGAAAGACATGATATCAGCACTCTAGCGAGTGTCCACATGATGGATATCATAGGCAGGGAAAATTTTTTGGAAAAGTACCCTATCATTATTGCCTTTGAAAAAAAGAAAGATTTTCTTTACCATTTCGCCAATAAAAATTGTGAGAAGAAGCTCAACTTGTCCAACTTGGAGCAGAATAATAGCCCGTATATTGACACCTACCAGGTATCCTACATTTTGAGAGAGTTCCTGCGCCACATACAGATCAGGAAAAAGTACCTGGTCCGGGACATGTTAGCGAGAGCAAGTGGCAAGGGGAGCGGCCATCATAGCATCGAGACGAACTTGGACGGCAGGCACGATATCGGGAAGGATGGCAGGCAAGACGATGGCAAGAGGGACGACACCCGCAATGATAAGAGGGGAGACCACCTCAGTGTCCCCCATGAAGGCGAAGATAAGGTAGTGGAAAAGGAAGTGTGGGAACCGAAGGAGGAACACACGAGGGACGACGCCTCCAGCGGTGGTGAAGGAGGAAGAACGGAATTGCCCGAATTCGGCACACTGACCAAATTCGAATGCTGGGAGTTTTACAAAAGAAACAGAATAAACAGAAAGATTCACCAATTTGATTACGCATACTACAAAAGAGAGAAAGAAACGAGCAACATATTTAGCATCATGGTCATGGGAGAGAAAGGGAAGGGGAAGAGTCTTTTGACCATGAACTTGGTAAACAATTTATTAAATTTTCACGAAAAAGTATATCTGGTAGACATTGATGTGGGACAGCCGATCATAGGTATAAGTGGTTTCCTCTCCATATATAAAATAAAGTCCCCATTATATAATTATAATTTTTTTGAGAAGAAAGCCAAGTGTGTTAAAAAAATATTCTTTGGAGGATGCTCCATCGAGGAAAATTTTCGTTATTACATTTCGTGCCTGGAACACTTGTACTTTTACTTATTCCATATTTACTTTGAGAAAAAGAAGAGGAAGAGAAGAGTATCCAATAAAATGAACGAGTGCTGCTATCCTGTGGTGATTAACACATTTGGATGGGTCGAAAATATGGGTTTGCTCCTTCTAAACTTAAACATTTATCTGAGCAATTGTAATTTTATCGTCCAAATTGATTCGCTAAAATGTGAAGAAAATGTAAAGAGCAAATTGAGCAGACAAGAATTTGTGTCCTACTTGTTTAATGATTTCCTGCTGATCAGACTGGGCAGAAGAAACGACATCTATGCCATCTTAAATTTGAACAATGAAAATGTGTCCCCAATTTCGGAGCCGTTTTCTCTCTTTAACGTTATCAGTCAATATAGTCACCTGAAGGAACACAATTTTTTATTTCACAAATTTGATATGTCTTTCGAAGCGGAGAAAATTATTCATAGTAACCCCTTCTGCGACAGGTCAGGCAATGATGTTAAAGCAGGAGAGTGTGGAGCCCACGTGAGGGATGGTAACAAAGTGGATGTGAATACAGGTCAACGGGGAAGCGGTGACTTCAAGGCGGATGGCCATCACAGGTACAATAACATAGAGGTGGAAGATAAAGAGAGACAGAAAAGGATAGAAAACCAAAGTGGTACGAAGAATCACGAGATTCAGTTTCGAAGTGAGGAAAAGTACGACTATTTAAAAAGAAGAATGAAGTTTTTTTTTGGCTGGAATTGTGTCAGAGTAATAAACTTTGTAAGCTATAAGAATATTCTGTCGCATGGCAATATCCATGAGATACTGCACCGATCGGAAGACTGTTCCATCCAAGCGAGACGATTAAGGTGGTTTCGGATTTTTTGTTACCTTTTTTACAAGTATAAGAAGATAATTTTTTATTCCTATAGCCCCTCGTTTGGCACCACATTGAGGGATCGCTATCGCCATTTGGGCGCTTTCTCCGATGGCCATTCGCATCGTAATTCGCATCGCAACTGGTATGGCGGCATCAGTGGGGGCGAAATGAAGGAGCTACCAACGTTACACGAGGAAGGGGATCCCCGAGGAGACAACAAAGCAGCCGTCCTGGATAAGGGTCTCCTAAATGGAAGGGAGTTACTTACAAATGATAAATCATTGGAAGAAGTATGTCAGGACAAAATTAAGAACACCGTGAGTGAATGCGAAGGAAACCAGGCCAAAGACACAACGAAAGAATGTTCGAGCCAGATTTATAAACTGGTTCGAAGCAACGGACCACTGTTCAACTGTGCCATTTTTAATTTGAAGAATATTAAGTTGAGCAGCTTAATTTTTAATAGGCACTACTTTAATTTGCTTCCCAATGGGTACTTCAATGCCAGCAGGTTCTTCTTTAACAATGTCATATGCCTCTGTAAGGATGTGAATGCGGGGAGTAGTGTATCCCGAAATAAACGCAAGTGGGGGGGAAATCATGGGGCGTTAGTAGGGCGTTACCAAATGGGCGAGAGATGTGAAGACAATTTGGAAGCCAACCGGGTGGATTATTACATCGATCGGTTATACATAAATGCAGATTTTAAAAATGAAAATCGCTTCATTAAGGAGGAGTACCTGAGGGAGAATAATGTCCAGTTAGTTCCCCTATCGGAGAATTTCACTTGTCTGTTAACAGCATATGTGAAGCTAATTGATAACATGAGACTCATCATTTATCTGCCCTTCTGGTTTCACCAGTTCGATTTGCTTTCTAGTGTTGATACCTTCGTTGCCGGGATGCAGCTTGCCCCCAGGTACATGGACGACCTGATTAATGAGTATTTATTTTATTATGACGTAGTTACCGAGAAGAGGGTTGAGATGATGAACGCCCCCCAAGTGGAGATTCCCACCGAGGGAGCCCCAGTTTGTTGATCTATCCTCTGGTTTGGAGCGTAGTCTGGTAGGACATCCCTCAGCATGACTCCTCCCAGCCCCTTTTGCCTTATGCGTATAAATTGGCAGACATGCAAACTTGCATATTTGAAAGGACAACCAGGAAAAAAAAAAAAAAAAGGAGTTTCACAGAAGTCCAAATGAATATGACTGTCCCAGTGTTGAGGCGATGGTGACAAATACATTGTGCTGTAACAAAATTAACCGTTGTGTGCGTCCCAGTCATTTTACCCTTCTGCATAAGCAGAAAGTTTTGCCAAATTTTTTTTCCCATCTTTGTGATGTCTCGTCGTGCGTATATTTTTTTTTTTGTCCATTTTCGGGGGGAAAAAATAAAGGCTGTTGTAGGATTGCAAATTTCAGCCGCGCGGAATGTGTATGCCTTCAGGGGAGCCCTTTTCTCGTTTGGTGTCCCTTTTGACCGGAAAGATCTGCGCACAATATGGTGCGCACCACGTTTGTTTCGTAGGCAGTTTATGAGACGAACTTCCA